AAGGCCAACGAACTCACGACCTCCATCGCGTCATCCCGTCGTCCCTGTCAACGATCACATGTAATTATAATTTTAAAAATACGAAAATGAATAGAAAAATTGATGTCAGGAAAACATATGGGTTTTATAAGGAATTGAAAAATATGAATTTTAATATATTTATTAATTTATTAATTTTTTTGTGTGTTAAAGTTATTTTTTTAATCAGTTTATTTTAAAAGAATTTAAAGGTTGTTTGTTAGTTGTTGAATGATTAAAAGACTTTCATGATATAGTGCAAAATGAAATATAATTGTTTGATAATTGTTCAGAATGAAATTAGGGTGTTGAATGGTCAAGGGAGACCCATGATACAATATCACTCAGGGAGTTTTATAACCATTAAGAGACAATTTTTTTTTGTCAAACAAGATTCAACTCTTAAGTCTTAACGATTCAAATATTGCCTCTTAATAGAACTATTAAGAGATAAACAAACAAGCCCTTAAAGTACACCAATTAAACGATGACATATTGCAACAAAGTAAAAAAGAAGTTACCAATCTTGGTTCACGATGTGATAAGGTTGGATGAATGTATTCTTAGTAACTAGTGCTCGACAACTTGCGCTGTACAGTGATCATAACACATGTCAAGTAATGTACAAAAAATTGTCAACCACATCAATATCTGTATACTTCAAAATTGAAAATACTAAATTTTCATAGTGCATTTGTAATCCTTCCATTATTTTAAGACATCCCTTCTCGTTTCATATACTTAACTGTTTTTCAGTAATTTCCTTTCTCATTAATATGGATTAAGATTCAAGCCAAATTCAACCACAATTCATGATTTGAAAATATTAAATTTTAGTTTCTCACATCAATATCTTATAGCATTATATATTAATTTAATTAATTAAATTATTTAACTTTTAATATAGATTTAAAAAAAAAAAGAGGATCAGCTAAAAATCTTATGTTAGGAGGGTCAGCCAAATAAGTTAAGCACTCTGAGTTTAGAGAATCATTCAAGAAGAGTCAGCCCTATGAATTGTTATAGGGACATCTCAATCTTGTTTTATATATCTATCATTTAGCGTCAATTTTTTTATCTACCCATCAATATGGGATAGACAAAACTCAAATCACAATTCAAGATCAAAGAATACTCAATCTTAGGGTGTCACATTGATGATTGTGGTTCTTACTTCTAAATATAAAAATAATAAAGATTATATATATGTAGAGGAGCGTTCAAATAAAAATCACCTAATTTGTACAAACCGTGAAAACCATATTCAACCAATCATAATTTTTCATTTTGTTCATTTTTTTGTAATTATAAGAGGTTGGTTAACCATTTTTATTGTGGAGGGTGTTAATCATGAATATTATCTTCTTCATTATTTTAATTTTAGAGAAATACACAAAATAGTTTCATTAAAATTTCATTAAATATAATATGAAACAATTTCATAACCATATATGTAACAAATTCATCAAAAAAAAGTATTATATGAAATAATTTCACAAGATTAAATAATTTCATGAAAAAAAAATTCATAAGATTAAACAACGAAATCGACGTATGAGAGTGGTTTGTACGGTTTGTACAAATGAGGGTGGTTTTCATTTGATCGGCTCCTCTATATATGTATGTAGAGTAGGTTTACTTTGCAAACCACGTTATTTGTACAAACCTTACAAACCTCATTCAACCAATCATAATTTTTCATTTTGTTCATTTTTTTTTTGTAATTATGAGAGGTTGATTAATCATTTTTATTGCGGATGGTGCTAATCATGGATATTATCATCTTCATTATTTTAATTTTAGATAAATATATGAAACAGTTTTATTAAAATTTCATTAAGTATTATATAAAACAATTTCATAACCATATATGAACAACTTTATCAAAAAAAAATATTATAATGAAACAATTTCACAAGATTAAACAATTTCATTAAAATTTCACAAGATTAAACAATAAAATCGACGGATGAAAATGATTTGCGCGGTTTATACAAATTGAGTGGTTTGCATTTGATCGTTCATTTATATATATATAGAGAGAGAGAGTGTGAGAGAGATAGATTGATTTATCAATCTTATCTAATTTTTATTTCACCTATTTTGATGGAAAAAAAAAACCCATACAAAACTAAATTTAATCAACATAGAACAAATTGTTTGTTCAGTTTTGTCCCAATGTACCAAACTACCCTTACTAATCAACAAAATTATCATTAAACCGCTCTATTAGTCGACGAGTCGAATAACGAAACGGCAAAACCAACAATGGACTAATTCCAACACGGGTTTTTATATACATTCCCGGCAAGAAAACCATACGAATATCCGTAATTAACAAGATAACATGATACAATCATCAGAAACATACGTAATTTTCATGGTTCGATGTCAACAATTGTCATAACCGAAGTAACACAATGTATAAACAGTAGAGTTCAAGACGACCAACACATACAATCGTCTCGAATTGATTCCATGAAGATATCGTTTTAAGTCATATATATACTATCACATCGTTCACACGAAAGCCGCAAAGATGCGAAAACGAAGAAAGCAAGCACCGGTTGATAAAGAATGTACACATTCATCGTCGTCTTGAAACCATATTTACATTTATTCATCTTCGAAAGCACAAAGCTTCAGAGCGATCCGAACGTGTTCTCCCCGCTATACGTCATGTAGAGAAAACCATCCTCATCTTTGTTTTCCTCATAGATAGCAGACATCATTGCAGCTGTTCAACACATTACAAACATTAAAACACACAAAATCTCGACTAAACGAGACGGGATTGGACAGGACTAGACGGAACTAGAAATATTTTAAACTGGTGGCACCATTTGACTGTAAGAAACAAATATATGGATATTTTTCACAAAATCAACATTAGTCTGGTGGTTAGTTCATTCTTTTTCATATATGAAGTCTTGTGTTCAAGTCTCTTATTCCTGATGAATCTGAATTAAAAGCAAAAAACTAAGAAAATGACACTAACGGGACTCGAACTCAGGTCAGAGGTGGAAGAGAAGTCTTGCAAACCAACTCTTCAAAAGGGATACTTGCGTTCTCACTCTAGTTTCAAAATTGATACAGTGGCACTTTTCACGACCCCATAATCTTTTAAACTTCGACAACAGAATGAAGTAGTGGCTCGTGCCACCGTATGCACTACACTGGGTCCATCCCTGTGCGAGGCAGGCGGGTGCAGTGGCGGACACAGGAATCGACTAAATTTTGCCGACCTTTTATCCACCTTTCAGACGGCTAAATTTCTTTCTGTTGCAATAATCGAGTGAGCGGGTGAAAAGAATTGTGTACGGTTTTAGGGTTTTAATTTGACATGGGTATTATAGTAAATTACCCATTGTTACCTGATTTTTGTTGTACTTGTTTTGGAGGGAGAAAAAAAATACTGCCTCCGTCCCAAATAGATGTCCGCAATGAAAAAGACACAGCTTTAAAAATATGTAATGGTTACAACTTTTTAACTAGCTAAATGACAATTTTACCCTTACTGCAAATGAAATAATGAGCATCTCCTCTCATAGAGGGTGCAATCAGAAAGTAGGCACTTCGTTTTGAAGGTGGACACTTAGGGTTGTTCGGTTAATTTTCCATTAGATTATGTATGGATAAAGTTGTTTGTGTGGATTAATCTGTCTTTATAGATTGGGAAGGTTTTATATGAGAGGATCTTATAATAGATGGAAGGCGCTTCTTTTAATTGGAAGGGGTAGGTTTAGAAAAAATTTGGCTTTCTGCATGAAGCTCTCCCGTGGGCCTCTTTGTTAGCAACTTAATGAGCTTAATGGATCTTGCAACTTATTCGGACAGCAATATATAATTTGTTTGGTATTAGCTCAATGATATAGAAAGTGGCTTCTTCACTTCTAGGGGAAGCTTTATGCAGAAAGCAAGTTTTTTTCCAAACATGACCCTTCCCAATTAAAAAACATGCTCGTTTCATCCAAAAAAACCTTCCCAATCTATACAGCTTTATCCATTCAGGACTTAATAGAAAACCAACCAAGCAGCCCCTTAGAAACTCACTGAATAAGCCATTTTCTATATCATTAAGCCACTATCAAACGAATGTATAGCTGATCGAATAAGCTGTGAGTCCCATAAAGCTCATTAAACTGCTAACAAACAGGTCCCTATTTTAGGAACAGAAATGTGGACACATGTTTTGGGACAGGGAGTAGCATTTTCATCCCACTCAAATGGGACAGTAAGAGTCGCATTTTCGTCCCACTCAGTCACAGCCTATCCCAATCTAAATGTCATACCAAACGTGGGACAAGAAGTTTATGTTCTATCCTGTCACACGTACCAAATGCTAGAGATTTTGAACTAACCAGTAGGCGGGAGTATGTTCTTAACGAAGATAAAGATGGCCTTTTCGGCACTGAGCTTGATCCTCTTTCTGACCACATACACGAATTGTCCGACGGTGAGGTCAGCCGGAACCAGATATCTGCATCCATCATCGTGTCAAATTTAATCAGTCACCAGATCGACACTTTACATTTTGAGGATCTTATTTATAAGACGTGTCAAAAATGAAAAACTTAGGATCCAGAAAACAGGTGTAAACACTGGTACTAATACAACACACTTGGAAAAGCTAAAGCTATATGATTTCAAAAAATTCCAAGCAAGTAGCAAGAATTTTCACATTATAAGCAATACCCTGTTGAGGATGCTGAGGTGGACTAGTAGCAAGACTACGGGGCTGTTTGGTTGGTTTTTCATTAAGTATTGCATGAATAAAGTTGTTTGTGTGGATTAATCTGGTCTATATAGATTGAGAATGTTTTTGTTTGGGTTTTTTCATATGTAAGAAATGTGTTTTTTAATTAGGAGGCATGGGTTTGGAAAAATTTGACCTTGTGCATAAAGCTCTCCCTAGAAGCTTACTGAATGAGCCACTTTCTATAGTTTAAACCACTACCAAAGAGACATGTATGGCTGATCGAATAAGCTGTGAGCCAGTAAAGCTCATTAAGCTGCTAACAGACACGCCCTACATTGGATATGGAGACTTTAGTTCATCAGCCAGCATGATCTAGTACAAAAGCCATCAAAATCCAATATGCAATAGAAAGTTTGGTAAAGAAAGACGAGTAGCATCTTCAAGTAACATAAACAAATGTACAGGAAATCCACTGATGGTTGGCTGTCAATTCATGTCTTAACGTGATCAATGATCAAAATAATTACTACAGTAAATAATGTCAACCTACCATGATATTGAACACGTTAAAGATGAGGAAATAAAGAACAATGGACTGAAACGTGAATATAGAAGATAGGCAAATTGACCAATATTGCCAATCCCCCAACCAAATTCACTTTTTAGCCATTTTTTTAATCAAATTACCATTTTAGCGAGAGTTCACGCAAATTTTGCATATTTGTTTGAAGCCTATTTTCAAATTTAGAAAAAAAAAACTATTTATGCACATTTGCCTAAGGATCCCATTTGCATACAGATTTTTTTGTCTTCTTTTAATCTAAAAAAAGGCTTTACGCAAATGCGCAAGGCTTTTGCGTAAACTTTGGCTAAAATGAGAATACGATGCCAAAACTTAAAAACTGAAGTTGGTTGAGGAGATCGGCTATTTTGGCCAATTTCCTTATAAAGAAGTGACCAACTTTTTCTTGTCAATGTCGGGTATGTCGCTTCTTTCAGCCTTCTCCACAATAACCTGTAAAAACAGAATTGAAAGAAAAAATTACACAAACTACACAAAAGTATGTGATGAGAAATTTCATATCATACCGGTATTCTGTCTGGATACTTTTCCCTGATTCGGGCAGCTTCAGCTTGGCGCCTCTCTAAAAAAAATTCATTAAAAATGTAGTAGAAGAGTTATATCATATACCATACAATTCTGTAGCATACGATGTGTTTGATACATTGGATAGGACTGGACAAGATAGAGAAATCTTTATACATTCCTTTTTTCAACTTGTGATACAAAACCAACCATTAGTATAAACCATACAAACACCGTTCATCAGGTGTAATGAATATCTCATTCAAAGAAATAAGAATATCTCGATTTGTTTCCAAATATAAAGCGTTGATCATGATAAACAAAGCCTCATAATCTTCCATAAATATCCACATCATAATGATAAACTCTCATCATTTCTATAGATATCTCAATTAACTGGTTTATATATGACTTGTACTAATGATTGAGTTTGTAAATGAAACCAACTCTAACACAGTATTACTACCCAAATGCAAAATTAAAGACTTCACATGACTACCCACTAGAAGTTACAAATCAACAGTAAATCAAAAAACAAGTGAATTCCACATCTACAAAAACTCTAATTTAAGTAATCATAACAAAAACAGCAGCAACAAACGCGCCAGGATCTTAAACAAACAAATCACCCGATCAAAAAATCAACTACAGGAAATGAATCATCCAAAGTTCTCTTTAGTAGAACCACACAAATACGATTTCAGAAATGGAATCGGAAAAAAAAAAAGTAAGATGGAGAGTGAAGGTACCAAGAGGATGTTCCAGTTTGAAGGAGCTTTTAGCCATGGCGATCAATAGTATGCAACCAACTGCAAACCAACAACCAATTAACAGATCGGATTAGGGTTTAATCAAATACACAAAATCGCAACAACAACAAAAAGAACAACTAAATTAAACAATCGAAATTCGATGATCGCAAAACGAAATCATACCACAAGAATCAGCGAAGTAGAATTTGGGGATTTGGGGGATGAAATATGAGATTTCGTCTATGAAATCAATTGGAGAGAGTACAGTTCTCGATGTCTTCCGGTGCCTCCAATTTGATTTTTATGTTCTTGATTAGGGCAAGGGGTACACGAGAGTATCGAAACGACATCGTCTTGTGTGGATGACTTCATGGGCCCTACTTCTCTCAAAGGGCCCACTATCTTATCCATGGGCTTTAATGGCCCAATAGACCCTTTTACACCCTACTAATTTAAAAATAATTAATATGAGCAAATTGTATGAAAAATAACGCATTTTAATTTGATTTCTATTTTGAATAACATACTAAAAAAATTTCATTTCGATACCTAAGATGTAAAGTTTTAAATACTAATTATTCGGGTAACTGGTTGAAACTTTAACTGGTTATCATGCTGATGTGGTATTCAACTCGGTATTATTTGTTATTTAACACAATTCCATCTCATCACTCGTCACATCGGCATGGTAACCGGTTCATGCTTTAACCGATTACCTGGGTACTTAAATGTTTAAAACCTTACATCTTAAGTACCAAAATGGAAGTTTTAAAAGTACGTTACTTAAAATAGAAATTAAGTTAAAGTATGTTACGTTTTCATACAATTTACCCTAAGTAATGTCCAAAACAAATAATTTAATTTTTTAATAAATAGTAAGAATTATAAAATCTTTAAAAAACTTTGAATTACTTTAAAACCATTTTTATTTTAATTATTTTTAATTTACATATTTGAATATTTAAAATAAAATATAAATAAAATGGAGTAACTTTCAAATCAAAATTATCACCTTTGAGTCATGTTTGTCTTAATTATTCATACACCATGTTTGGTCTTTTCATGCTTTCATTACAAGAAAACATGGAAAATGACAAATTTTACTGTTTTTAATCAAATAAAAACTTTAAAAATACTGAAAGACGTAAAAATCAGTTTATCATTTCATATATATATATATATATATATATATATATATATATATATATACACACACACAAGAGGCTGAATGATTTGATATGTGAAATAATCAGATAAAACATGTCTATATGTTTATATATACGAGAAGGGTATTCGTGCAATGCAACGAGATACATTTTGATTTTAATGTTTTGTTTTATATCTTCGATTTATCGATGTTATAATACGATTTTTTGTGGTTTTAAGAAAAAGAAAATGTTTTTATTTTTGAATGAAAATATAAATTTGAAGATAATGTAAAATTTTCAAAAAATAAGCAATATTAGTGTCAAAATAACTATTTAAACGTTCTCATTTTTGTGTAATTTTTTTAATTTAATTATTATTATAATTTAATTGAAATTTAAAAAATGAACTCTTTTATTTTTGGTTATATAAAATAATTTTTTAAGATAATAATTAAGTATTCTATAACTCAATGATTATCTTAATTATATTTTTAGATTTTTTATATTTAAAATGATGTTTATCGTGTATTTGATTATGTTTATCTACAGTTAATTACACGAATTCAAACATTGAGGTTTAATAAGATGTACTCATGCACATTATACTTGTAATCTTGAATTTTAAATAATATGCATCGATAAACAGTACTTGTCGATAAAGAGTTTTTTTGATCTATTGTACTTTAACAGATTTTTCATATTGTCCTCTAAAATATAGAAAACAAAGAAAGTCAAAGTTTAATGACTTGACGTGGGAAAAGAGAATTTTTTTTTTTTTATTAATTCCCACAAACGGATTGAGTTATTATTTTTTTTTAAATATTAGAAGCATACTCGCGCAATGCAGCGAGATAAATCGTGAGTTTAATATTTCATTTTATTCTTTATCTCAATCGATGTTATAATATGGTTTTATGTGATTTT